AATTAGGCTGAAGTCATTCCCAATAATGTTTACAAGTTTAAGCTGAATCGTTTTAAAAGTGAAACAGATACTTCCTAAATAATTAGATATATAGTCATATTGCCAACAAAATATTGTGTGTGTGCATGTGTGTAGTTTATAACTTTTCTCATGCCTAAGGCTACAGAAACTTAGATATGAGCAATGATAGTCTAATTGATAAACTTCTAGTTAAAGTAGCATTGGTTTGCTCCAAATGCAGACCACTGATAGAACTGGTATGAAGGGGGGGATTAAAACGGTCTACTAGCAGCACACCTATGAAAACAGCTGTACATGCTTGCAAAGGAGAGTAGAGTCGGATGTGACAAGAAAGCTGGCCCACAGAGCCTCTTTGCAGATGAGAAGCTCTGAGGCAGTTACAGCAAATGAGAGTTCAGTTCCTACTTGACAGAGAAAGGAAAAAAGGAAGGGGAGGGAGACGGGTAGGAGAGAGGGTGAGAGAGAAAGAGAAACAGAGACTCTCTACTTCCTTCAGATTGCACCTGAAAGTGCAAACTCCAAAGCACAAGAAGAAAGACATCTAATAGTAATGAAAATAGTCAACAGATTCATCATTTGGAAGATGAACTTACTCTAGGTGAAATTAAAACACACACACAAGCTGAAAAAGACTGAGGCTATTAGCACCTTTGGAGATAGAAATTAATTAATATTACCCATAGAGAGAGCTAGAAATTGTGAAACAGAAATAGGCAGAAATGGAGTAAGAATGGGTGAGTGTAACAAAGAAACAATAAAAATACTAGAAACAAAAAGTCAGTGAAATAGGGATAAGTTACGGGAAGAAATGGTAGCACTCATCGCTTCCTGTCTACTGTGAGCAAGCAACTTCTACTACGCATGTACCCCTGCTGACCTGATGCTCTCCCTTACCACCATCCCAGAAGCAATAGTGCCAAAGACTATGAACTCAAACCACTGAAACTCTAAAGACTATGCCCTTGAAGTTTCAAATGGGAGTGAGGATTCCGTGGCCTCGTGGCAAAGACCTTGCTTACATTTGTCCATGACCTGAGACATCACGGAGGCAGAATTTTACAGTGGAGGTCTGAGATGGCCATGAGGATTCACACTTGTAATTGCAGCTCTTAGGAGACTGAGTGGAGAGGATTGTGAGTTTGAGGCCAGCCTGGGCTACAAAAACAAAACAAAATCCCTTTAAGTATGCAGAACAACTTGAAATATAGACTAGGCTTGTAAGGAGGAAAGGAAAGCCTGAGATTAAAAGAAAAAAAAAAAAGCTAACGTGGAATCTAGAATAGGAATCCAGTGTTAAAGCTCGAGCTTGCGTGGGTGCATGCAGTTGTCAGGTCCAGCAATGTAGACTTCTTGACTTTATAGGTTTTGCCTATCAAGTTGATAAGCCCTAGTACAAAATGAAGATAAGAAATAAAGTGGAGAACCCATGCAAAGCCAGCATCTACTTTAGTGAAAAAGCAAATTATGGAAACTAACTATCCATCCCATAAACTGAGATGTATTGGTTTTGTCTCTGAAAGGATAAGTTTTTCTTGTGAGAAGGAAGGCCCTGTTGACGATCATAAAACAGACAATCGTGCCATGGTGGTGTGTATCTGGGATCTCACCCAGCATTTGGAATACTGATGCAGGAGGTTGTAATTTTCAAATTTATTGACAGTTTTTACTATAAACTTACATTCATTTTATTGAATTTACTTTTCAAGATTGTCTTTTAAATTCCTGACATCAGTGATTTGTGCTTTTGTTTTAGAGTTTCTCAAAGACTTCTTAATTTGATTAGACTTTTGAAAAAACTGATGTTCTTATCTTCCAGCTTATTCATTTCTACTATTTCTGTGCTTCTACCTATGTGTCTGTCTATCTATCTATCTATCTATCTATCTATCTATCTATCTATCTATCTATCATCTATCTATCTATCTATCTACCTATCTCTATCTATCTATTATCTATCTATCTCTATCTACCTATCTCTATCTATCTATCTATCTATCATCTATCTATCTATCTATCTATCTATCTATCTATCTATCTATCCATCTATCATCTATCTCTCCTTTCACTTTAATTGCTTTTTTTTAACCTCTTGAAGTAGAAACTAAGATTATTAAAGTCAATCTTTATTCTTCAAGTATGTGTTTAAGGCTATTGAATTTCTTCTAATCAGTTTTAGGTGTCTCCTACAAGTTTTGACTTTTTATTTTTTATTAATATGCATTTTAAAACACTAACTACAATTCCTTCTATTAATATTTTTATATATAATTTTCCAGACATTTTTCTCTATGTGAATTCATACATGCTCATGGGTAATTTAGAAGATTACTGCATACTTTCAAAATATTTAGGTCTTGTCTAGTTTGCTTCTAGTTTGGTCAGAAAACTTGCTCTATTAGTGATCTCAGGTTGTGAGAACAAAGTACCATTGTGAGGCTGACTTAAACACTAGAACTTTGTTTTCCCGTTGGCTAGACAGTGAAAGGCAAAAGCCCGTAGGGTCTGGCTTATGGAGAGCATTCTCTGCCTGGCCTTTGGAGCCCTGATTTCTCCCTATGTCTGCAGACGGTGGGGAGAAAGGCACCCTATGGCTAGTCTCACTCTAATTACTTCTGAAAAGCCTCATCTCAAACCTCATCCTATTGGAAGACAGTGCTTCAACATGTAAATCTTCATGGAACGCAGATATCTTCACTAAGATGTTTCTATGCAGTTGTGATTTCCACTTTTATGCAGGACTTAGAATATATATTCAAATGTCAAATTCTTTTCTTTCTATATAGTCTTTGTGCCCAAGTTTTTTTCAAACTTCATGATATCCATTAAAATATTTCAATTCTATTTTTTACTTTGGAGAACTAAACATCAAATGGGATTGACATATTCCTTGAAACTTTGTAGGAATTCCATGGATAACTAAGCTAATAGAGTCTTGTCCTTGAACAAACATTTTGCTGTTTTCTAGAAATCTATTTCAAAGATATTTTCAAATAAATCATTAAATAGAAATAATTGTTTCCTATACCTAGCAGTTCATGTTACATGTGCATTATGTTAGTAAACTTTCCAACACTTTAACAAATACCAGAGGCAACTGATTGATAAAGGGAGACCTTTAATTTGATTGACAGTCTGGAAGGTGTCCCCACCGATGGGCACTCTACTCGTAGGTGCCTGTAGTGGCTCAGTGCATCATGCTGGGAGGATTTGGTAGAAGAAGTCCAGGCACCTCATGGCAAAAGACAGAGAAGACAAGGGACTGGAGTCCCACCCCTCCAAAGACATGCCCCCAGTGACCTAAAGCTTCCCACTGACCCCACCCCTTAAAGGTTCCACAACCTGAGAGCAGTGGCAGGCTGGGGACTGAACCTTTAACACATGGACATTCCAACCTGCTTCTTATTCTACTGTTATGCTTGGGATGTTAGTTCTGCACTAGCAAACTTCCTTTCACTAATAAAATGGTTGTTCTTTGTATCGTATCACGAGTACTACTGCTTTTTTTTTTTCATTTTCCTCTAGAAAAGTAAACATGTTTGTTACAGGAAAAGAGAAATAAGAAAATCGAAAGTTACATTTAAATATATGTTTTTTGAGTGAACTTGTTCTTCTCTGGTAATGAATGCCTATATGATGAATGAATGTAATAAAAGGCAGAAAAATGCAAAAAACAGAAATGCTGTTACTCAGACCTCAGTGGTTGTGTGCTTATCTGGTTGTATGAGAAGCTTTTGGTTTAATAATATAAACACACACACACACACACACACACACACACACACACACACACACACACACACACACACTGTACTGTATATAATTACTCTATGTCCACTTTAGCATTTGATGACTAACTGCTGCATCATAGGTTTGTACCTCACTGCTAAATATGATTTTATTTCACTTTATGAAGTTCATTATTTTTCTTTTTTGCCTTACAAAACACCCTGGAACCAGCATATTTTTTAACATACATCTTAAGCATTTTAAATGGTTCGCTCCTGCTGTAGCTCCGTGGTAACTAGTTAAGAATTCATGTTCCCTAAAAATCAAATGTCCATAAGTAAATACAACCATAATATACAACATTTCACTAATCAGATGGGCAAATACTTTTAAAAATGGCACTCCCCAGCACTTCGGGAAATGGGGCATATAAGCTCTGGGTGACGGTGTACACTGCAAGAGTCTTTGCTGAAATGACTTGGAAATATGAATTTAATGCAGCTGCTGTAGTTTTCATTTTTCCAGCTGTTTCACAAGGAAACTTGATTTTTTCCAAGATCTTATTAGAAAGGAATCACATTATATATATGCTGCAAATCCAGTCCTAACAGAATGGAATTTTTCTCAAGGATATTACAAATAACGAATCCAGGTGCCCTGAAGATTTCCTGAAATGTGTTTGTAAGCATTTAAAACCTTTTTTGGTGCCTCTATAAATCATCTTTGCCTCAGGACTCAAAACCGCATCAAGGTTTTATTTTTGATGAATGGTAGTGGCAGGGCAGGACGGGGGAAGCATTTTGCTCCCTGTCACTCAGGATCTTCCCAAACAAGTGAGCTCTTTAACTGCTTCCCTGGCATTTCTTCCCTTTAAATGTTGTGTTTCAATCACATATATTCAGGGAGATGCCACAGTGTGGAGCCTGTACAGAGTAATCCGATCTAGAGCAGTGGTTCTCAACCTTCCTAATGCAGTTACAGTTCCCCATGTTATGGTGACACCCCCCCATCAAAACACCATTTTGTTGGTTCTTCATAACTGTAATTTTTCTGCTGTTACGAATTGTACCATAAATATCTGATATGTAGGCTATTTGATATGCGACTCCCGAAGGGGCCGCGACCCACAGGTTGAGAACTGCTTTTCTAGCGGTCCAGAGAGGAGCTTGTGTGCTTGTCGTGTTTTGCCTCATTTGAAGCTTCACCTTTTCCCAGTCGCTTTTGCCTTTTTCCTCACCTGGCTTTTGGTACAGATGGCACACGGGCTCTTGGGGACCCTGCTCAGCTACCTGCGGCGTTGGGATCCAGACCCGAGATGTATACTGCCTACATCCTGAGGAATCCCCAGCCCCTCTGGAGGAATGCAGAGATGAAAAGCCTCATGCCTTACGAGCATGCAATCAGTTTGATTGCCCTCCTAGCTGGCATATTGAAGAGTGGCAGCAGGTACAGAAGCTTGGCAAACCATGTCCCATTCTGCTTATGGCAATGGCAGGAGCCCTGCTCTGCATTAACAGAAAGTGAGGCCACTGCTTCACAGTCTCTTTTCTTAGTGTTCCAGGACATGTGGTGGGGGAACCCAGAACCGGAGAGTCACCTGTCGACAGCTGTTAACAGATGGCAGCTTTCTGAATTTGTCGGATGAATTGTGCCAAGGACCCAAGGCATCTTCTCATAAGTCCTGTGCCAGAACAGACTGCCCTCCACAGCTGACTGCTGGAGACTGGTCAAAGGTAAGGGCCATTCTTTACCCCTTCCTCTCTGCTCCTCCTTTGTTTCAGCTGCTAAATATTTCCCAAAGAGGTTCAGACCAGCACTAGTGAAAAACTGGCACAGAGCCAGGGCATGGCCACTCAGAAGCCAGTTGTGAACCTGGTAAGTACATGGAAGATGTCGTCCTGCTCACATTCTCCTTCTTGCTCACTCACTTGTTCTGTCTCTCTACGTGTGTGTTTGTGTCTCTTACATGCACACAATCTTATGGAAGAAATCTTCAGCTTATACTTAAAATGGACTTGCCCTCAGATGTTTCAATTTTTGGATTCTTTATTTCAAAACATTTTCAAATATTTAAAAAATTTTTAAGTGTGTGTGTGTGTGTGTGTGTGTGTGTGTGTGTGTGTGTGTGTGTGTAGGTGTCTACAGAGCCATAAGTGTCAGATATCCCTGGGCTGGAGTTACAGGCAATGGGTGCTGGGAATGGAACTTGGGTCCTCAGCAAGAGCAGTATGCCCTCTTAAACAATGCGAGTCTCTCACCCTGCCCCCAACTTCTTGATTCTTTATTACAAAGTCCAAGAAACTTGGTTGGGTGTTTCTTTCACATTTTTAATCTTTACCTTTATAATTGGTATTTGGTGGAGCCAAGGAAATAGATGATTCTAGATTCAGATCATTCTATCAGTGTTATCCAATGGATAGGCTGTCATTGACCCCACATGTTATTAACTCTTTATAATATGACAAGTATTAACTTACAATTGCTCATTCTAAATTCAATAGTCCTATTTCATAGCCTTACATGCTTGATCACTTAAACAACGGACATTTACTGAACACTACTGTATTGATTGCTAGAGGCACCAGGAATCAGAGACACCAAGAACACAGTTTTAAATGAATTCACACTTTAAGAAGGCAGGTAGATGAAATAAGACTCATATTCATGTAGGGGGAGCCCAACATAGGTGCCATACGTGCAAAACTGTGGGAAGTGTGGAAACCTCTGTTCCTTCTTCAGTGCTGGGAAAGGTTTTAGAGGATGTGGTTTTAATATTGAGTTTGAAGAAATGAGGGCAATCTCTGTGGTAATGAGATCAAAGGGAATTCCAGATAGTGTGCCACCTTTGAGTTTATGAGTCTCCTGGGACTTGAGAACAGGACTCATAAAGGAAGCGGTGGGAGGTGAGATGGAAAGCCAAGGATGTAACCAGATGGGAGAAGATTTAGGTTATTCTTGTGTATCCCCAGCATCCTCAAAAGTATGGCAGAAACATTTGAATATTCAGAAGCTAAGACAAACTGGCAGCCTTGATCATATGTTAGAGCAAGAAGACATGGGAGACAGAGAAGCCATAGAAGGTAGAGGTTGGATTCAGATGACTGGCAGATAATGAAGCTGTCAGTGTAGAAAATAGTAGACAGTGTTTTTCTCGTTGATAAGAAATGATCCACTTAGATAATTCCCTGTATATCTTGTGCACACTTAAAACTAGCACAACTGGAAAGGTCTATGTAAACAGCACAAGTCAAGTGAAATACTAAATGACAGTCTTACAAATTGTCCTTGGAGCTAGGAGGCGTTAATGGGAGGATTAAGTGTGAATGTGATCACAATACATTGTATGAAATTGTCAACAAATTAATAAAAATGTTTTAAGTACAGTTTTTGAAAGAGACTTGGGGAATGCAACAGACACATTTGACATTAACTTGACAGTGAATGAGCAAAAAAGAGGGAAGTTTTATAGCTCTGTCCTAGGAAGTTAATGGATAGTGTGGAGCTGATTATAAAGTTAGCTAGAGAAAGAAAAACATATTCAGAAGGTGATGTAAGAAGAAAAGAAAATGGATTTCATTTTGAAACACATACAGCTTGAGGGTCTGTCTCGGTCTTGATAAAGAATTGTAGCCTAGGTGAGATTTGTGCCCAAGTTGTGAATGTAGGACTCATCAACCTGTAAGTGGTAGTTGCAGTCCAAGATGACAGATACCATGACATCTAAATGTCTTTTGTCAACAGTTCCTTTTAAATCATTAATAGGTTTTCAAAGAAGCAAAATTATGGCAGCAGCACTATTGTCTAATATCTTCTAATCCCTCATTTTAAAAAAAGACCATGAAATAAAAATAAAACAATTAGGATTGCAAAGGGAAAGGGACACGGGTAATTGTCATATAAGTGACACAGGGGCAACGATCAAACCAGACACAATAGCAGAAACCACAAACTAGATGCTGAGAAGGAAGAGAAGAAGCAGGGCCACGAGCCATTGGACAGAGAAACCAACAACACATCTCCAGACAAAGGAGTGACCCCACTCCGATTAGAATTCTGAATAAAGTGAGTGGAGGCCAATCAGTGAACACACGAGAAGGGTGTGAGTGAAGAATGACCACGCAGGCCTCCCACAGACCCTCAGAGAATGTGCTGGAAACTCACAGAAAGGAGGGTGACATGGGATGAGGGAGAAAGAATGTTCATTTCCTTGATAGCGTCCAGGGACACAAACCTCAAAACTGTGGCTAAACTGTAGACTACATTTTAGCACCAGGAAGCAGAAGAGGGAGTTCTCATCATGAAGATGATAAATATTCTGAAATACTCTATACCTCACACTCCTGTTCTCTTAAAGCACAGAGAGCTAATCATTAATTTATATGGGAACATCAGCATACTGCAAAGATCACAACAAGGTAATAGTATAGGTGCACAGCAGCATAATAAAAACTTTGGCCTTGAAGCTCATGAAACTATAACTTAATACTACAAAATGAGCTGAAAGAAACTAAGAAAACTATAAAAACAAATGAAAATATAAAATCTATAGAACATGATAAAAGCGTGTTGTAAAAAGTTAGTTAATGGGGTGCAGGAAAGAATTGAAAAACTAAGGGAGAGTTTCTTTTGTTTTGTTTTTCAAAATTTATTCTAAACTAGAAAGGACTCAGAACCGACTAGACTTAGATAATGTAATTACAGAGGTGTGCAAAAATCAAACAAAATAAAAATGATTCAAGTGAAAATGATAGATATAAAAAGCAGAGAGAAAATAATCTAATAAATGCAAAGTCCCAAGACAGAGAATCATCTAAGAATAGAATAGAACAAAAGACTTAAATTGCCCATTGAGAGAGTACTCCCTACACCTGGGAAACCTGGTGTAATGACAAACACTGAAAACGATCATTATCATAACACATCTTCCTAAAATGACTGCATTTGAAAGATAAAGAAGTGGTTTTGCACCTGGACAAGAGGATCAAGCTTCTTATTAGAGAAAGAAGATCATACTAGCCTCAGATACTCCAACAATACTACTTTGTACTGGAAAACAATAGAGTAACCTAAAGGAATAAAAATGTGAGTGACAGATTTTATACCCTGCCCAACTGACCTTTGGGTAGAAAGGACTTAGACAAATATTTTCCCAGATGCAAGAATTTAGGGCACTTTGTTGCCACAAGGTATTCTTTAGGAATCTGTCAGACATCTTCAGTGAAATCACAGAAGTTTCACACAAGATTGAGGCCCTGTGTGTGACACAGATTATGTCACCTCTCCCACAGTACTGAACATTCTCTAAGTCTTCTACCCAGAAAAAGGACTTGCAAATGATCCTGCTATACAAAATGAAGAGAAGGTCAAACTTACCCCCATCATTAAAGATGCCTCAGAAAAAAAGATTGATAGGTGTTTTTTTTCTTTTTCTTTTTTTGGTTTTTTGAGACAGGGTTTCTCTGTGTAGTTTTGGTGCCTGACCTGGATCTTGCTCTGTAGACCAGCCTGGCCTCCAACTCACGGAGATCTGCCTGGCTCTGCCTCCTGAGTGCTGGGATTAAAGGCGTGTGCCACCGCTGCCCAGCTTGATAGTTTTTTAACCACCGTGTTATATGAACAAAATTGGTTCGGAGGTATTTAATAAAAAGTTGTTTGTATTTATTATATGGAAATTTTAGTTGTTTATTTTCTGCTAACATGAAAATAATGGCATTTAAAATTTTCATTCCTCTCCTTTGGAGTTTAACAACAACAAACCACAAAGAGAACATATAAAAGAGACACTCTTCAGTGAACAATGAAATGGCTACAACCCCAACTCTAAGTTATGAAACACACTTGCCAAACACCATAAAAAACTGCATCAAAGTGAGAAGGAATGTTTAGTGATGACAAATATTTCCTTGAGCACCAAGAGGGATACAGATTTCCACACGAGTAAGCTCGGACAACCTCAAAGGCCTGTTCAGAGTTCTTTGATTAGAGAGATGTTGAGTTGAGGACCAGGTGCTGTCCCTGAGAGCAGCAGAAACTGTCCTTGCAGAACTGTGGGTGAGCAGGAGCTGGAGGAGAAACCACATTTATTTGCCTCCTCATGGAGGAAGGATGCCAAAGGTGAAGTGGGGTGAAGGTAGAAATGGAGGCAGCAATCACTGGATTATTACAATGCATCACATAGTTTAAAACCTCCTTCCCTGGTCCCAGCAACCATTCAGATGCTGTCAATTCGAACAGAGGTGTGGGTAAAGGAAACAATTGATTTGATGATAGGGTCTTGAAGACAAGCCTCGTGAAATGTGTTAGCTCATCCTCGCAGTTTGCTCTGTTCACCAGCAGAGGGATGCTTTCAGAGCACCAGCATAGGATTTGTGCCTCCAAGCTACCATGAGAATTTGAAGTAGAAAGACTCAGGGTGCAGGGAAAGCATCTAAAGCAGGTCACACAAGCAACTGATCAAGGTACTCCCCAGAGAAAGTGGCAAGCAGATTCTGTATTCCCAAAGAAGGGGAAAAAAAGGCTGAAACGTGAGGTCTGAGATTTTTATGGTGGTTAGAAGAGAATAGAAAGAGGCAGAAAAACGACAGGAGCTGTTAAGATGAGGCAAGGACAAAAATAAAGCCTATTTTGAATTGCTGTTGACTTATTTTGCATTTAAAAAATTTATACAATGTATTTTGAACATATTATTTCCCCCGCTACTCTTCCCAGATCTTACTCACCTCCCTACCCACCT